ACATAGGAAATAGCAAGAGTGATTACAATAGTTCCTATTGCATTACATGCATAGGAACTAATGAGAAAAGATGAGATAAAAAAAAATCACATTTCATTCTCAGAAATACAGGTCTACTGTAATGTAAATACTTAAAATAACTAACCTAAAAATATAAAATCTAAAGATTAAAACGTCTTACAACAAAAAGATTATACCAGAGTAGGACTACTTAAGAAATACTGACTATGATGTAGAATCCATTTTTGGTGTAAAAGAAAAAAAAAACCTTAACATTACACAATTTGATAAGCAACAATACATTTATACTATTGTTGTGAATTTTTTAGTTGTGAGCGTTTCTCCCAAGCATTCATGATGTATTTTTACAGAAATTTTCATGATGTATTTTTAAAGAAATTATCAAAAATAGAGGTATCACAAATATTAGAAGACTGAATAATTTAAATAATTTAATTTTAATATCATCATTTGTTGTTGAAAAAAGTGTCCTTGTATCATAATCGTTACAGAGTAGGTCATTTTCAAGACTTGTTAAATGTTGTTTTCTAATGATATTGTAAGTGGGACAATTTAGTAAAAAATGTTTGACATCTTCAATTTCTCCCTTTTCAGTTCTGTGCACTGTAAGTAATAAAGGGTTTTTAATTGCATGGATGAGGATCCATTTATTGAATTATTATTTTATTGTTAATATTTGTTCCCTCAACTTTGAATGACTTTTAAATTTTGATTTTTATATTATTTTTATATTATTTAATTCTTTTAATTTTTTTCATAAATTATTAATTGTCTTTATACACATTTTTATTCTGCCTTTTATATAATTTTAATTGTTTAGTCTTTATACATATGTAAATTTAACCAAATCAAATGTTTAAATTATTGGTTCATTGATCATTGATTTTTGTTTGTCATTTTTTACACATTTGTAAACATAAATAGAATTGTTTTTATGTCCAAGTGCCCCCAACGGGGGCCATAGACACTATGTCATGATGTAACAATTAAAGATGGCAGAAAAGGGTAAATCCGGTGGAGGAATGATGGGTAATACTTCCATCAGGTGGGGGCGCTCTACTGAAAATCAAATAGCGTTTGGAATTCAAACTTAATTGCGTTCAAACTCGAACATGCGTTACAGAGACACAGCACGCGTTCGCCACAAACGCCTTTAACCATCATTTAAAGGACGCCATCTAGAATATGGTAGTACTTTTCGAGATCAATGACATAACGCGGTGATTCCATGAGTTAATCTTTTTTAGTGTTTTTAGTGCAATAATACAGTGGGCCTAGTAGTATACAGAATATTGTTATGAAAGACAATTTTCACGAAAAAATTCAGATACACTACAATGACAAACACATCTGCATATTGAAGAACGTAAGATTAAATTCAAAAATAAAAACTCCTGTATAAGGCAGTAGACACATGCTCCCTCTGGGAGCCTATTTTTTTAACTGCAACCTGAATATAAGTTTGACTTGGATTGATATCAGCTAGAACAATGAATACGCTACAGTATCTTAACTTTACAGCAGTTCTAAGTCACTGCATGACTGATTTCATCATCTCATGCTTGATTGCACTCACAAAGAAACCAGCCTATAAGGTCACATGACTAACCTGGAAAAACCCATTTCTATTTTCGCAGACACTTCATGCACACCCAAAACTTAACAGAGAATTTTAAGGTAAATATTATATTAATTTATGTTGTTCAGTGCAATAGATCCAATCAATATCTTAATGGTTCAAACAAATTAAAATACTGAACCAAATTATCATGTTATCTGAGATGAAAAAAATGTTGATAGAGGTATACAGGCCTACTAGATATTAAACAACGTGTAAGACATTAATACTAAATCAGGCCTGTACACAGGTTTTTATTGGGTAGGTGCAAATTTGTGGAAGGTGGACGAAAATGACTATGGGCTACCAAGCAACAGAACCTTTTTGGGGTTGAGTGGGCGGAGGGAGCTCCATTGAGCACAGATATTTTTGATATTTTGAGGTCTTAATACATTTTGAAGATATAATATAAACAGTATTAAATCTTTTTGTCAGTGGCAGTCCAGGAAATGGGGGGGGGGGGAAGGGGGCAGGGACACAACTTCATAGATGGAGGTCGATACACAGTATCATAGTCCCACATTTTCATAAATTTTGTACTCAACACAGTCATTAATTTCTGTGGGACATAATTATCCACCAAAGATATTTTCTGTTTCTTTCCCATACCAAAATATTTGACTTTCCAAAGTTAAAAATTCCCTAATTTCCATTCTTCTTCATCAACATGCTTAACATGCTTTCTCATTCCAAAATATTTGACTTTCCAAAGTTAAAATTCAAATTACATTTGTGTATGTTTACCTTAAATAATTAGGGTTCTCCCTGTATTATGTTTCGTGAAACCCTCAAAAACGGTCGCCAATCAATTGTATTGCGTGGGTCTATAAACTTGGCATATTTATTGCCAAAGCAAACTATAATTCAATAAAATTATTAAATATAAATACTTTTTCAAAATGTAAAAATAAAAGCAATAATCCATACATCTATATAACCATAATATAAGTATATAAGTTATTATAAAGCAATGAATGTTGTTATCAAAATGGAAAACAAAGGGAATAATATGCAAATACTTAATTGGCTATCAATTGCTATAAATACTTTTACATTTCGAAATTTATTAATTATTATAACTGTATTCAAGTTTGTACCTAAAAATCAATTACCTTTGTTTACCTACCATTTAAAATAAAACATGTTGTACAGACTTCCTTCAGAATACTGGCTAATTGTTATGGCTAAATATTTTCAATTAAAACTGTTTCCCTGCTAGCGATTAGCGAAACTTCAATTTTGCTAATCATATTAATAACGCCAATATTACTATGGATTTATTTCCACCAGCCCTGAGATCATGTTCTAATGACCTATAAATGATGTCTGAAAAGAATGTTTACTAAAATCGCAAAATGGCCAATGGTCAATGGTTGTACATTTGTATAAGCTTCCTATTATGATTACAATAGGCATTATAATAGGCTTTTATGATTTGTTATGTATGAAATAAAGTATTTCACAAGTCTTGCAAACACCATTACATTTTACATAAACCATGTCAAATTATTTTGGTAGACATAACTTTGTTAGCATTTTCAGTTGCCTTGAATCGCTAGAATATAGAGCACGTGGGCAACTGAGAGCAACTGGGTATTTTCAGTTGCTTTCAATCGCAGGAGCACTTATGTAGCCTTCAGTCGCACAAATCTCAGTGCTCTCAGTTGGTCACAGTTGCTTGCCAGTTGCAAAAGTTCAATTGATGTCAGTTGAGTTGAGTCGTAGGGGCAACATAAGCCCGGCTTAAGGCCTATACCCATGTTCTCTCCAACTAAGGGAGAAAATTCATTGTTCAAAAAGGTGTCGATATTTAAAGTTTTTTTTAGATTGTTGTAGTTGTTGTGGTACAATGAAAAAAAATGTATGTGTCCCCCTTAATAAGGGTTACAATGAAAAAAATTTAAATATCCTGTTAATAGGGGTTATTTGATGAACCAGTTAACCAATCACCAATGACAATCAAAGTAGAAGAGGGAAGATTATTAAATACTATTCATATAAATGCAACAGATATTAGAGATGTAGTTAAGTGTGAAGATGACTCCTTACTGGTTTCATGTTTGACAAATGAAATGCTCAAGTACAAGCAATCAGGAGAATATATTGGTAAGGTTACACTACCACAAGGTGTGAAAGTTCTCAGAATGTACAAAATGAAGAATGGTAACATAGCATTCAGTGATTACAGTTTTAATAAAGCTGTCAGAATATGCAATATGAATGGTCAGCTGATTAAAACAATTAGTGAGGGAGGACAGAATACACCACGGAGTATTCATGTGGATGAGACATCAAATGTTTTGTATGCAGCAAATAATTGGTCCAATAACTGTGTGTACATGTTTGACATAAATAATGGCAAGACCATCAAAACAATAGGGTCATATGGTACAAAAGAAGGTCAAATGAGAAATGTCACTGATGTTACTCTTACTAACCAAGGACACCTTCTTGTATTGGACTATGGCAACAGTAGATTACAATTATTTAATAATGAGGGAAAGTTTATAAAAGTCCTTGTTGAAGCAGGTGATGAGGATGGTAAGGTAAAATATCCAAGTGCAGTAATAGTTGATGAGGATGACAACATCATTATATCAAGTCAACACAAACTACAGCTATTCAGTAGTGATGGAAATTTCATAAAAAGAATTGATAAACCAGAAGATGGAATCAACAATCCACAGGGATTATCCATCATTTCATATCATCCAAGGAGACTTGCAGTAGTAAATGATGGTGACAAAACAGTCAAAATATTCAATTATTAAATATTGACAGTCCACTTGCTTCACTTGTGTGTTTTCAACAATTCAAATTTATAAGTGTAGGAATATCTACATATCCATTATTTCATATCATCCACATAGAGTTAAGTTTATGAATCTTAAACTTAAAATAATTATTGAATACAATAATATCGAAATATAAAGTTGGCATAATGTTTATAAACTTGTTAAAATATTTCATTATTGAAAATGATATACATAGAGCTGAAGTTGTGGGTTTTTTTTTAAACTGTTAAAATATTAATTAGTCTACATAAATGATATCTATAGAGTTGAAGTTATTAAACTGAAAACATTAATACTGTAATCTGCCAACCTCAACTGTTTATAGTGTAGTTCTCATCAAATTTGAATCACACACTATTGATCTTATGATTTTATATTTTTGCAGTGTAAGTGTTTAATCATATAATGCATATACATGTTACTTTCTTGCATATTGATGTTAAAAATGTTACTTTTCAATCTATTGGGGCTTTTTTGTACAACCTATCCAGGGGCGTACGGTGAAAAATCTAA